GCAGTATTGGCCTTTCTCTGTCCGGCTTATTTCACTTAACATAACGCCCTGCATTTTCATTCATGTTGTCACAGATATTTCTCCATTTTTTTTGAAACCAATGGTTGGGATTAGAGGCTCAATTTGATTCTTTTTAAAAAAATATATTTTATTGATTTTTTACAGAGAGGAAGGGAGAGAGATATAGAGTCAGAAACATCAATGAGAGAGAAACATCGATCAGCTGCCTCCTGCACACCCCCTGCTGGGGATGTGTCCGCAACCAAGGTGCATGCCCTTGACCGGAATCAAACCTGGGACCCTCCAGTCCACAGGCCGACGCTCTATCCACCAAGGCAAACCAGCTAGGGCTCAATTTGATTCATTTTTAAGAAAGAATACTTTATGGGTGTTTCTTTCTTTTTTTTTTTTTAATTAAATCTTTATTGTTCAGATTATTACATTTGTTCCTCTTTTTTTTCCCCCCATAACTCCCCTCCTCCCAGCTCCCGCCCCACCCTCCGTCCTCACTCCCCACCCACTGTCCTCTTCCATAGGTGCACGATTTTTGTCCAGTCTCTTCCCGCATCTCCCACACCCCTTTCCCCCCCAAGAATAGTCAGTCCATTCCCTTTCTATGTCCCTGATTCTATTATAATCACCAGTTCATTCTGTTCATCAGATTATTTATTCACTTGATTCTTAGATTCACTTGTTGATAGATGCATATTTGTTGTTCATAATTTGTATCTTTACCTTTTTTTTTTTTCTTCTTCCTCTTCTTAAAGGATACCTTTCAGCATTTCATATAATACTGGTTTGGTGGTGATGAACTCCTTTAGCTTTTCCTTATCTGTGAAGCTCTTTATCTGACCTTCCGTTCTGAATGATAGCTTTGCTGGATAAAGTAATCTTGGTTGTAGGTTCTTGGTATTCATCACTTTGAATATTTCTTGCCATTCCCTTCTGGCCTGCAAAGTTTCTGTTGAGAAATCAGCTGACAGTCGTATGGGTATTCCCTTGTAGGTAACTGGGTTTCTTTCTCTTGCTGCTTTTAAGATTCTCTCTTTGTCTTTTGCTCTTGGAATTTTAATTATGATGTGTCTTGGTGTGGTCCTCTTTGGATTCCTTTTGTTTGGGGTTCTCTGCGCTTCCTGGACCTGTAGGTCTATTTCTTTCACCAGGTGGGGGAAGTTTTCTGTCATTATTTCTTTAAATAGGTTTTCAATATCTTGCTCTCTCTCATCCTCTGGCACCCCTATAATTCTGATGTTGGTGCGCTTGAAGCAGTCCCAGAGGCTCCTTACACTATCTTCATATTTTCGGATTCTTTTTTCACTTTGCTTTTCCAGTTGGGTGTTTTTTGCTTCTTCGCATTTCGAATCTTTGACTTGATTCTTGCGCTCCTCTGGTCTGCTGTCGGGAGTCTGTATAATATTCGTTATTTCAGTCCGTGTATGCTTAATTTCTAGTTGGTTCTTTATCACAACATCGAGGGTCTCATTAGATTTCTTGAGGATCTCACTACATTTATCGGCGGTCTCACCAGTCTTTTCGAGGGCCTTACTAAGTTTATCGGCAGCTTCTAGACAGTTCTTAAGAGACCTTAAAAGTGTGGTTCTGAACTCAATATCCTCCATTGACAGTTTTGTCCTGTTTCTTTGTCTCCGCATTTTTTATGCTTTCTTGGTGCACCCCCTAGTGGTCTTTGTCCGCAGTCTTGTTGCCTTTAAGCCTTGATTGATGTCGGCAATACCGGGGTGATTTGACCTCCAGGCTAACTGGCTATGAGAGTCTGCTGTGTCTGTAGTGGGAGGGCTTCTGTGCTGGATCTCTAGGGCGGTGCTAATCCAGCGTTTGCCTGAGGCTATCCGGCAAATGGTTCTGTGCAGGGCTTGGGCGGGGCGGGTCCCCGGGGATCTACAGGGCAGGCGGAACAAGCAGTTATGGCGACTCTCAGTTCCTTCCCCAGGGGCTCTGCCTCTCAGAGCCCCAGCAATGGCTGCAAACCTCGGAGAGAAAGCTGCCTTCGAGTTCCGACCGAAGCCAGACAGTCCCGTTTCTCCCGTTTGAGTCTCGGTCCCCAGAGACTCGCCCGGATCTGGAGCTCAGAGTCTGAAACTCCCTCCTGATTGAAAACAACAACCGCGCCCTCCGCCGCCAGCCCGCTCCGCGCGCACACTCGCACCTGAGTATTTCACTTCAGCACTGCGCCTCCTCTGAGTCTGGGTATGATATTCTCTTTCCTCCTAGTTGTAGAATTTCCACTCAGCCAGCCTTCCCGTGGTTCTGGGTGATGGCCGTTCTGTCCTTTAGTTATATCTCTGAAGTGGTTGTTTGAGGCAGCGATCTCCGGCGTTAACCTATGCCGCCATCTTGGTTTCCCCTTATGGGTGTTTCTTAAGCTGCCAAGAAACCTTAAGAGAGAGCAAGATGAGAAGACCTCCTCTACCAAATACCAAGACTCCTTGCAAAGCTATGGTAATTAATGCACTACGGTATTGTTAAGAGTATTGAAAAATAGAGCAATCAAAGAAAATTGAGGCCAAGACAGACCTGTAATTATGTATAGACTAGAGGCCCAGTGCACAAAATTTGTGCACAGGTAGGGTCCCTAGGCCTGGCCAGCAATCAGGGCCGATCAGGGCCTTCTGGCTGCTGGCCGGGACCTCCCTTCCCCAGATGCCGGCCGGGGCCTTCCTTTGTTCCACGTTGCTCCCTGGTGGTCAGCGCACATCATAGCGAGTGATCGAACTCCCTATCTCCCGGTGGAACTCCTGAAGTGACACTTTGCATATTAGCCTTTTATATATATAGATTACTCATTTTCCTTAAAGGTGGTACTGCAAAGTAGTGGGGAATGGGGAAAAACTTTGGTAACTGGCATAGGAACAACTAGATATTCATATGGAGAATAATTAAATTCTGCCAGAGGCAATATACACCTTGAAGATTCCATAAGTTGATTTTAATTCTGTCACCTACCAAAAAATAAATTTCAAAAAAAGGAAGGGGAAGGAAAGGGAATAGGATGGGAAGAGATTAACCAGGCTTTGAATGGGAAAACTTTTGGTGCAAAGGACAATGCTCAACCATCTGAGCCACTCTGGCCAGGGCAAATGTTCTTTTATATATATATATATATATATATATATATATATATATATATATATATAATCTGCAGCAGACAAAAATTTACTTCTGAAGAGCAAAGATTCACCTCTGGGGATATATTCCTTAATTTTAATCCAATATACTGTATGATATAAAGAATCATATTATGAGTTCTTGGCCACAGAAAATATTTAGTCAGTTACTTTATTCATTTCATTTTTCAAAGCTTTTAAGCTGTAATAAAAATAATGGTCCCTGTAAATACATAAAAAAATGGAAGTTAATGGGGAAATAACCCAAAACTTTCCCTGATCCCCTCAAAACTAGCTAATACGTGGCAAATATCCTTTTCACACATTCTCTTTTGGCATGTACTCACTTTGAAAGATCATTTATATCAGCCTGGCTGGTGTGGCCCAGTGGTTGAGCATCGACCTATGAACCAGGAGGTCACGGTTCGATTCCTGGTCAGTGTCCATAATAATCTTTCATTGGAACACAAAAAAATACAAGATACCACTATTTAGAGATTACTAGAATATATAGATATTCTGTAATATATAATATTGCCAATAAAAATATATATTATTAAAAATATATACTTAATATATTATTAAAAATATATATATTTAATATATTTTTATTGGTTTCAGAGAGGAAGGGAGAGGGAGAGACAGGGAAACATCAATGATGACAGAGAATCATTGATCCGCTGCTTCCTGCACACCCCCTACTAGGAATGGAGCCCACAACCCGGGCATGTGCCCTTGACTGGAATAGAACCTGAGATCCTTCAGTCTGCAGGCCGATGCTCTATCCATTAAGCCAAACCAGCTAGGGCAGGGGTGGGCAACCTTTTGGTGAGTGCGTGCCAAAACTAGCAAAATCTCTGACTCAAAATTCTTCTGCGTGCCAACCCTAATTTTTTGAGAACACGTTACGCCTACTTGATATCTCTTAAGGTGTACGTATGTGAAGAACCTTGAAGAAATAATAAAATTCATTCGAGCGACAATAACACAGTATATGATGATGAAAAATACATTTATTTTTTAATGTGTACATGTACACTGATAGTCCGACAGAAAACTTTATGACTCCGTTTGATATTATCAGTGGGACTTTTGCTGCTGCATCACTGATGACAGAGATTTTACATCAGGTTTATATTTCGTGCAGAGATATGCACGACTACTACTTTCATCCGTCAGGCTACTCCTATTACGAGACTTAACAAAATTCATCACTGAGAACAAAGATTCACAAGCGTGTGTGGATGAAAACATGGAGAGTAACGCTGTTGCAAAGTTTTTTAAACAGAAAAAATTTTCTGGAATGGCATTCCAAGTGCTCAATAGTTCGTTTTCAACACTTCTCTCTGGTACTCTTGTCTCTAATCGCTTTTTTTCAATGTTTTCCAAGTCAACTCTAAGGTCGATAAATTTCTGCTTCCAAATTGAGCTACTCTGAAATTCAATCAACTGCATTTCAAAGTCAGCCATGTCTATCCATGAAAACATTTGTAAGTTTAGTTCCTCCAGTTTCATGCTGTCTGGAAACCTCATGAATTTTGCTGTCTCTTCCAGTTCTCTGAATTTAGAAGAACTGCTCAATAGTTGACTCAATGATGTTTAAAAACAGCTTTTGAAGGCTTTGACAGTCTGTTCTGTCATTTTTTGGGAGGTCTTTGATGTGCCTCTTGAGGTTTGGGAAATATCTAAATCTCTCACCACCCGCATCCCTCTTAAAGACTTCCAGTTTCTTTTCAAAAGCCTTTATGTAACCAAACATAACATCAAGTGTCTTGCCAGTTCCTGTAATTTAACATTTAAGCCATTCAAATGTTCACAAAAATTGTAAATGGAAGATTATAAGAGAGGGTTTTGTGTGCCAGCAAAAGTTACTGGTGTGCCATGTTTGGCACGCGTGCCAGGGGTTGCCCACACCTGAGCTAGAGCAATAAAAATATTTTTTTAAAAGAAAGATAATTTCTATCAATTGGACTTTACCAGGAGGGTTACAACATATTTCTCCCCTGAATACCAGTCCTATTCCTGTTACTATGGTTTTATATCAACATTTTTATGTATTTATTAGATTCCAAGTGATGAAGAAACCCCTTTCCACTCACAAAACGTTATAGTGTTTTATCCCCAAAACACTCTCCAAAAACTAGATGTACAACCTGACTGGAAGCATGAACACATTTCTCATTCTTAACGATTCTTGCCAGAGTGGACTTTCTGATGGTGCGTGAGACGTGAATGGTGACTGAAGTCCTTCCCGCATACGTCACACGTGTACGGTTTCTCTCCAGTGTGGACTCTCAGATGGGCCTGAAGTCGTGAACTCTGACTGAAGCCCTTCCCACACTCCTCACATTTAAACAGTTTCTCCCGAAGGTGAACACTCAGATGGACTCTAAGATTTGAGGGGAGACTGAAGGACTTTCCACACTCCTCACACTGTGGGGCTTCTCTCCAGTGTGCACCCTCTGATGATGGCGAAGATTCAAGCTCCTACCAAAGCCTTTCCCACACTCCTCACATGTGTAAGGTTTCTCCCCAGTGTGGCCTCTCTGATGGTACAGAAACTGTGAGCTGTACCTAAAGCCCTTGCCACAGACATCACATGTGTATGGCTTCTCCCCAGTGTGGACATTCTGATGGACTTGAAGGTTGGAAGCCTGGCTGGAGCCCTTCCCACACTCCTCACATCTGTAGGGTTTCTCTCCTGTGTGGACCCGAAAATGGATGTGAAGGTCCGTATTGCGAGTAAAGCCTTTCCCACACACCTCACATCTGTACGGTTTCTCTCCAGTGTGGAGTCTCCGGTGGCATATTAATGGTGAATTGTGGCTGAAGCCCTTCCCACAGACATCACACTTATAAGGTTTCTCCCCAGTGTGGACCCTCTGATGGATGTGATAGTGGGCGGCCTGAGTGAAGCCCTTCCCGCACTCCTCACAGATATAGGGCTTCTCACCCCTGTGGACCCTCTGATGAACACGAAGATTAACCAAAGCCCTTGCCGCACTCTTCACTTTTATAGGGTTTCTCTCCAGTGTGAGTTCTGCAATGAATGTGAGACTGTGCTGCTACGGAACCCCTTGCCACAGCTGTCACATCCACAGGAGTGTATAGGTCTTTATGGCGGCGTTGCTGCATGGGCACTGTGGTGGAGTAAACCATCAACCATTGGTGACTGAACCCCCCGGCCCCTCTCCCTCCTGAGAGTTCCAGGGTTTGCAACTGAAAGTTCCAACTCTCCAACCACAGGTGGTTCATCTGACAACCAGCCCCCAACTTTCTGACAACAGTGCTTTCCAAAAGTAACCTCCTTAACAAACACTCGGGCGTGGTTGCAAGGAGCTTATCATGAGTAGCATGACGCCCATGTCCCCTCTATGTCTCTGAAGCCATTTCAGGATTTGAGGATAACAGACCAAATATTGTAACAAATGATGTTCCTGCTGCTCTCTCCCTTAGGATTTGGGAAGCTATGAACCCAGAACCATGGACAGAGGCCAGAATGTACATTTATTATAAACCACAATTTCACATTTTATAGTGTTTGGTATATAGGAATTACATATTTTAATTTTTTAGAAGTGTTTTTAATTTTTGATGCTACATAAATGGAATTATTTTTTAATTTCATTTTTCAATTATTAGCTTCTACCATCTAGATAGAAACACAATTGATTTTTGAACATCAACCTGCAGCCTGTTACCTTCCTATAGTCATCTACTCTAAAAGCATGTCTTCACATTCCTAAAGATTCTATGTATAAAATCATAACTTCTGCAAATACATACTTTTACTTCGTTCCAATCTTGTTTCCTGAATGCAGGTGACAGCGTCAGACCTCCACCACTTCACATAGTGGTGACACCACTGTAATTAACCCGGTTATTAATTCACTGGAAAGGGGCAAAGGAAAGACCAAATAGTATGGGTGTACTTGTGCAGTATTTGTGCAGCTTTGCCAGGAAGCTGCAATTTATTTATTAAAATATATTTGTATTGCCCTAACTGGTTTGGCTCAGTGGATAGAGTGTCAGCCTGTGGACTGAAACGTCCCAGGTTCGATTCCGGTCAAGGGCATGTACCTTGATTTCGGGCACATCCCCAGTAGGGGGTGTGCAGGAGGCAGCTGATCGATGTTTCTCTCTCATCGATGTTTCTAACTCTCTATCCCTCTCCCTTCCTCTCTGTAAGAAATCAAATATATATATATATATATATATATATATATATATATATATATATTTGTATTGATTAAATCAAATATATATATATATATTTGTATTGATTAAATCAAATATATATATATATATATATATATATATATATATATATATATATATTTGTATTGATTTCAGAGAGGGAGAGAGAGATAGAAACATCAATGATGAGAGAGAATCACTGCATGCCCCCTACTGGGGATCAAGCCTGCAAGCTGGGTATATGCCCCTGACCGAGATTGAACCTGGGACCTTTCAGTCTGTAGGCCAACGCTCTATCCACTGCGCCAAACCAGCTAGGGCAAGAAGCTGCAATTTAGACGCATACCCATTAAGTCTCAGCGAAATAGGGAAGGTACTTGCTTGTCAGTCACACCTGGGAACAGGTCATTGGCCAGAGTAGGCATGGCCACTGTAATCACAGGAAGACTTAAGATACTTAAGCTCCTAAACAAAGGATATTAAATTCTAACCATTCAAATGAACAGGGAATACTTGTCTTTTTTTTTTTTTTTTTTTTTTTCATTTTAAGGGAAACTGTCTCATGTTACCAAGCCTCTGACGGGACCGAGGGTGTTAAAAAAAAAAGAATATGAGAGAGCGGCAGGTGACTAGCCCAGTTACTAGAAACCAGAGAAAAAGAAATAACGTCTTTCTATCTCAGGCAATGGAGATAATAGACATCCCGTGTCCAGACAAACAGGCTGAAGGGCTCCAGTGAGATCAGAGGCCACCAGAATCACCCGTGTGGATGGAGTTAACTGCACCCAACTGAATAGGACCTGATCAACACCGATGCTGGTAACCTCCGCACCAGGGCACAATTGTATTGCCATTTCCGGGAGGTCTCTGCCCCCCTGCAGGAGGCGCAAGACAGCAGTCTCTGTATGCAGAGTGGCCGCGGGAGTTGTGTGCAGATCCTAGGACCTGGTGACACGACAGGAAACTGGGGAAATTGGGGAGGCTCATACTTTCCCCAGCTATCCAAACTCTTTCCCCAAGGAGGCGATTTTTCTCTCCCCAAATCAACAGTAATACAATTTCCGTTCCTCAAAAGTGCCTACTTTGGCATAAAATTTTATTCACACCATGAATTTGAGAACCCATGCTTCATTGAATACAACTATCTTGGAGCCCTAGCTGGTTTGGTTCAGTGGATAGAGGCCTGCGGACTGAAGGGTCCTGGGTTCAATTCCAGTCAAGGGCACATGCTGGGGTTGCAGGCTCGATCCCCAGTAGGAAGTGTGCAGGAGGCAACTGATCAATGGTTCTCTCTCATCATTGATATTTCTCTCTCTCCCTCTCCCTTCCTCTCTGAAATCTCTCTCTCTCTCTCCACACACACACACACACACACACACACACACACACACACACGTATAAAGAAAACAATTATCTTGGAAATTTTATTAGAATCCCACTGTATTTATGGATTAATGTTGAGAAACCAGCTGCTATATAAAACTGAGAGTTATTATACAAGAACAGTTGATATTGTCAAGTCTTCTTTATGCCTCTCAATTGTTTCAAGTTTTATTCACATAAATCAAATTTATTCCTAGGTATTTTACCTTTTGTTGCTATTATAAATTTGGTCTTTGCTATCATTCTATTTTGTAACTGCTTAGCTTTTGTGTCAGAGCAAAAGTTTATTTTTATTATAAAAAATTCTTTAAATTTACTATAATTAAGAATATCTACTAGTTTTTTTAATACTTGACATGCGATATTATATTATTGGTGTACAACATAGTGATTAGACATTTATATACCTTATTAAGTGATCACAATGAGCCTAGTACCCATCTGACACCATACAGTTATTAGCATATTGTTGACTATATTCCCTATGCTATACTTTACATCCCCATAACTATTTTGTAACAACCAATTTGTACATTTTTTCTTTTTTTAAAAAAAGTATTTTTATTGATTTCAGAGAGGAAGGGAGAGAAATATCGATGAGAGAGAATCCTTGATTGGCTACCTCCTGCACACTCCCTACTGGGGATTGAGCCCGCAACCAGGGCATGCACCTGGACTGGAAATCGAACCATGACTTCCTGGTTCATAGGTTAATGCTCAACTACTGAGCCATGCTGGCCAGGCCCAATTTGTACTTCTTAATCCATTTACCCTTTTCACCCCCCCCCAACCCCCCCTCCCATCTGGCAATAGTCAAAATGTTCTCTGTTACGTATTTCTTCTTCAGGGAACTTTTGTATCTTTCAAGGAATTTGTTGATCACACCCAAATTGTAAAACTTATTGGCATAAAGTTGTTCCTAATACAGTATTCTTTTATTAGTCGTTTAGTGTATGTGGAGCCTGTTATGCTGTCTCCTCTTTCATTTCTAAAATTGGTAATTTGTATTTTCTGTCTTTTAATTCTGGTTAGAGGTTTATCCATTTTATTGTGTAGCTTTTGGTTTCATTAATTTTCTCAATCACTTTCCCATTTCTTATTATTTCATCGATTTCTGCTCATTTCCTTCTTTGAGCATAATTTGTTTTAGTTTCTTTTTAAAAAAGTACATTTTTATTGATTTCAGAGAGGAAGGGAGAGAGAAACATCAATGATAAGAGAGAACCATCAATTGGCTGCTTCATGCAGGCCCTCCACTAGGGATTGAGCCTGCAACCAAAGCATGTGCCCTGACCAGTAACCAGTCACCTCCTGGTTCATAGGTCAACACTCAACCACTGAGCAATGTCACGCAGGCTGTTTTAGTTTCTGGAAGTGAAAGATCTGAGACCTTTCCTCTTTTCTAAAGCCAGAATTCAACGCTATAAAATTTTCCTTAGTTATTGACTGCATCCCGCAAATACTGGGATGTTGTATTTTCAGTTTTGTTCAGTTTAAAATATTTTCTAATTTGTCTTGCAATTTCTTCTTTGTCCCATGGGTTATTACCAAGTGTGTTGTTGAATTCCAAAATATTTGAATTCATTATGAGAGACTTGAGAGGACTCATCTGCATATCTCTGAAGTCACAAATTCTAGTCTCCCTGGTCTCTCTGCACTCTACTATCTGTCTCCTCAACTGAGTGAAGGCTGCTGTCTGCTCTGTGGTCTGAGAACTGCCTCTGAATCTTAAAATTTTTTATTGATTTTAGAGAGAGTGAGGAAGGGAGAGTGAGAGAGAGAGAAACATCTGTTTGTTGTTCCACTTACTTACGCATGCATTGGTTGATGCCTGCATGTGCCCTGGCCGGGGATCAAACCCAAACCTTGGCATATCCATACAATGCTCTAAGCAACTGACCTACCCAGCCAGGGCTGCCTCTAGACTTCCAGCTGGTAAATCACAGGACTTGTTTCATTCACTTCCTTTCTCTTAAGGGTCAGAAAGAAGCCTGTTCTGCCTATTGTCTAAGGTCTGAAAACTATTATTCCATCTATTTGGTTTGGGTTTAGAATTGTTTGAGATAAAAGGGTACATCCAGCCTCTGTTACTCCATTGCGGGGGGGGGGGGGGGAATAAAAATTATTCACTCTGTTGTACCATCCCAGCTGAACCTGTCCTAGAATTTGCTAAAATTACATTGCTGCCCTCCAGAGAGGACTACCCTTCCTTTTGGTTGCAATGGACTGGAAATGTTTGGACACTAAGGCAGAGCCCTGCCAAGCACAAGTCCAATATGTGAATATAACCTGCCCTGCTGGTTCCAGCTCTCACTTAAGGTAATAGAACCAGCAACATTTTAGTGCTCAGGACAATGCCCAACCAACTGAGCCACACCGGCCAGGGCACCCCCTCCCGCCCCCCACTTAAAAAAACTTTCTGAGAGTCAAGATCTAGAACTCATGGTGAGAGCTAATGAGATTTTTCTCAAAAGATCTTCTCCCATGTCAAATTCCATCTCGCTTTCTTTTACTTGGGAAACATTTCTCCATGAACATCTTAAGAAGAAAGATACATAACAAGAAGCAAAGGGATTTTCTCAAACAGAAGAGACATGGAGGGGAGGCCACAGGGCCACGTTCTGGTTGGTGCCTTTGGTTAAGGACAATGGCTGTACCTCTCCGTGGCTTCTGATGCTTTGAGAAGTAAATTGGTGGCAGAAGCCATTTTCCCATCTGGAGTCATCCGAACTGCCTACCTTCCATAATCAGAGCTGAAATGTCAGATGTTCACTTCCCCAGCCCCACCTACTTAGGTCAAGTCTTCTGAGGGATTGTGGGGGAAGAGCTTTCTCCAAGATGAAAAATAAAAGCCCCTCCCTTCCTTCCTGTTTAGGATGTTCACTATATGAAGAAATGCTAGTGGAGGTATGGCAGCAACCGTGAGGAACAGGCAAGAAGAGCAGAAAAGTAAACCCAAAAGTGAGTCCCTTTACCCTACCAGTGGTCAGCAAACTCATTAGTCAACAGAGCCAAATATCAACAGTACAACAATTGAAATTTCTTTTGAGAGCCAAATTTTCTAAACTTAAACTACATAGGTAGGTACATTGTCATTAACTTAATTAGGGTACTCCTAAGGCTTAGGAAGAGCCACACTCAAGGGGCCAAAGAGCCGCGTGTGGCTCACGAACCGCAGTTTGCCGACCACAGCCCTATCCGGCTTGGCTCAGTGGATAGAGTGTCGGCCTGCAGACTGGGAGGTCCTGGGTTCAATACCGGCCAAGGGCACATGCCCAGGTTGCAGGCTCAATCCCCACTAGGGGGCGTGCAGGTGGCAGCCAATCAATGATTCTCTCTCATCATAGATGTTTCTATCTCTCCCTCTCCCTTCTTCTCTGAAATCAATAAAGAAATATATATATATATATTTTTTAAAAAGTGAGTTTCTTTGCTCACTGCCATCCTGAGAAAATCGTGGAAACACCGACCTTTAGAGTTCTTGTAAGCAAATCCCTACAGTAGCTGGGAACTCTGTCTGCTGTAGCTGGTGATGTCCCACTCGATGAACAAGAATCAGGTGAGACTGTCCCCGAGAGCCCTCCATAGCGCCCACTCCTTGCATCTTCCTATAAAAAATAAAAATAGAAAGCATACTTCTTCAGGCAGAGTATATGGAGTCGGCCTTTCCTTAAGCCAAAGTTAATGGAGAAACCCGTTGTCAGACTCCTCTGACAACCTTGTAAGAATAAATTGGTGACATCCGGCACAATGATTACAAAAAATAATAATTTTATTACATTGGTGTGGAGGCTCCCTCTCATAAGTAACACTGTTACTAACTTGGGAATCTATTTGCCTTGTTCTTAATTGCCAATCCTCATGCATCTCACCATGTGTCTGGGCTTGATTTAGCTCAGAATAATACTTTTCAACCAGTTTGATATTGGTTAATAAGTAAACTGATAAGTATCTCAGTTTACCCCAGCCCAATGGGCCTAAAAGTATTTCTAGCTTGTAGGTGTTCCAATCTTATTGTAATACACTTCTCAAATACATCCCAATCCCTTCATTACCAAGTTACTTTCATTAATGAGTTTCAGCATGAGGAACTGAAAACAGCATTATTGATTTTCGTAGATTAACACATACAATTCTTTATAAAGACATCCAGTCTTTTCTCTCCCCAGTAACAATATTCAGGGCCTTTTAGGGTAAAGTCAGATGTCTTTCTGAATGCTATGATAACACAGATTCATAAAGTTCAAACCTAACCAGTAAAATTACACCCACTGAGTGCCAGCTGCATGGAAAGAGCTACTAACAAATTTATGGTCGCATGGTGATGCTCCACCAAGGGGTGGGGTGGCAGGAAACCAATTATAGTCTAATTTATTGGACACGCGTGGCAGATGGAGTACTCTTTTCCACAGGAGAAAGTGAGCCCATATTTTCAATGTTTCCAGCACATCTGCTGAAAAATCCTGAGTGGTGTGCAGTTCTCCAACCTTGAACAATGGGAGAAACTGTTAGAAGCAAGAGGATTAAGGAAACGAAACTGGAAAAAGAAATACCAACTAAACTCCTTAGACATTTGGTTCTTGGAGCTCCAGTGGCGCAATCGGTTAGCGCGCGGTACTTATAAGACATTTGGTTCCTAAACCTTGCTTGAGAGTTGTTCCTTACCTTTCTCCCCTTTATGGTCTGTCTCCTGGATAATTAACACTTTGCCTGCCCCATCCCCATCCCCACGCGATGAGCTGGGCCATATTCATTTAAAATGTTGTTTCCTTGCCGAAACCGGTTTGGCTCAGTGGATAGAGTGTCGGCCTGCGGACTGAAGGGTCCCAGGTTCGATTCCGGTCAAGGGCATGTACCTGGGTTGCGGGCACATCCCCAGTGGGGGATGTGCAGGAGGCAGCTGATCGATGTTTCTCTCTCATCGATGTTTCTAACTTTCTATCTCTCTCCCTTCCTCTCTGTGAAAAATCAATAAAATATATTTAAAAAAAAAATAAATAAAAATAAAATGTTGTTTCCTTCCTAAGTTTTAATAGAGAAAATGAGATCTCACTTAAGGTGGATGGTCAATAATCCCACTTAAAAAAGTCGGCTCCCGCCCTGACCGGTTTGGCTCAGTGGATAGAGCATCGGCCTGCGGACTGAGGGGTCCCGGTTTTGATTCCGGTCAAGCGCATGTACCTTGATTGCAGGCACATCCCCAGCAGGGGGTGTGCAGGAGGCAGCTGATCAATGTTTCTCTCTCATCGATGTTTCTGGCTCTCTATCCCTCTCCCTTCCTCTCTGTAAAAAATCAATAAAATATATATTTTAAAATATAAAAAATCGGCTCGCTTCAATGATAAACGTGACCAAGTATGTCTGAGGATGGGCCCATTTATTAATGGCATCTTTATGTGTCATTTCCTAGCTCATGGCCTACTCACCAGAGAGGCAGCTAATGAAGAGGCCACGTTCTGAGTGCCAGTGAGGGGCCTGAGCTAGAATTTAGATGCCCCTTTTCAGTCAGTGTGGGATGAAACCTGTAGTTTCCAGATCACCATTCCAGTAAAGGTTTTATTTTCTGTATGAACCTACATATGAGCCTATTTTATCATTTGTCATAAACTCAGATGCTGAACAACACTGGCCTGAAGGACTATTTGGACTGATCAATGAGCATTTTCTGTGAAGAATGTTAGAAGCTGAGTTTGGGACTATTAGGGACTGCATGTTTGTGTGCTCCCAAAATTCATATGTTGAAATCCTAACTCCCTATGTGATTGTTAGGAGGTGAGGGCCTTTGTGAGGTAACTGGGTCATGATGGTAGAGTCCTCTGAAGTAGGATTCATAGCCTTATAATAAAAGAAACCCAATGACCTCTCTCCACTATTTTCCCAAGTGAGGACACAGCCAGATGGCCACCTGATAACCAGGAAGTGGGTCCTTGGTGCCAAGTCTGCTGATGCCTTGACCTTGTTTGCTGGGGGGTAGGGGGTAGGAGGTAGGGGGAGAAGGAATGCGGGTGAAAGGAGGGGGAGGAGGGGGAGGGGGAGGGGGGAGGGGATGGGAGGAGGGAGGGAAGGGGAGGAGGGGAGGAGAGGAGGGGAGAGGAAGGGAGGGGAGGGGGGAAGCCCAACTATCCTTACACTGCCTCTGCATCTCAGTCCCGATATATAAGATCCTTTCTGGCCTAAACTTTCAGTACCACATTCCCATGAAAATATTTTATTTTCAATGAGGAATATTCCTGAGAACTCTAAGTTGTACCCAAGTGTCCTAATCATACTAATCCAAATGGAAACTTCAGAACCCTGAGGAATCTCTGTTATCTGGCTGTCTGGCCTCTCCTAAATGGTCAAAGGAAACGAAAATCTTTCTTGCTTGCTTTTGACTAATTTTTACCCATCATATCACTTATTATGTCAAAATAGTATGTATTCAAAAAGACCAGGCATAAACCTAAAAGTCAAATAAACACACCTAAAATCCCCTTTAATTCTGATCCACACACAAATATCTTATCACAATGGTTCTAGAAATAAATGCTCCAAACTCTTGTTCTGCATTTTTCACTTTGCATCATAGCCATTTTCCTAATTTTTACAAAATCCTCTATGTAAGAGAAAGTGCTGCATGAAAGAGAATATAAAGTAGTTAGTGAAGAAATCATGTTGTAAGATGATACACTGAACTAATAACCATGGCAATTTTTCAACCTTCTCAACACCACCACCAGTGATAGCATTCTCATTTACTCTTTATTGGAAAAGAGGTCAATATCATTGGCAATCACTCCACAGCATATTGTCCATTTAATGGTAATTCTCTCTAAGTGCTTTCTGTAAGGAAAAGTGCCAAAATGTATTACTTTTGCTCAGAATGTTTCATAAAGACTGTTTGATTTTGTACGCAGAATTATGAAATAAAACGTGAGATCCTGACTGACCAGAGTGGCTCAGTTGGTTTGAGTACTGTCCCATGAATCGAAAGGTCACCTCTTCAATTCTAGGCAGGGTGTATGCCTGGGTTGTGGGCTCAATCTCCAGTAGGGGGTGTGCAGAAGGCAGCCAATCAATGCTTTTCTAAAATCAGTAAAAATATATTGGGGAAAAAAGTGTGACCCATAGTCCCTCCTTTCGTCTCCAGAACAAAGTTCCAGATACATAATAATAGGGCTAATGGAAAGCTTTTCTGCATACATTAATCTTATCCATGTTTTTCTAACACATATGCTTCCTTGGAAGGGAGGCAGGGATGAAGGAATATACTCTGGATAAAAAATTTCCAAACTAGTTACATTCATAGTGTTTCTCTTCAGTATGAGTTGCCTGATGCCTAATAAGTTTAGAGCTGTTAATGAAAGCTTTCCCACATTGATTACATGTAAAGGGTTTCTCTCCAGTATGTGTTCTTTGATGTACAATAAGTCGAGCACTCAAGCTGAATGTTTTCCCACATTGATTACATTCGTAGGGCTTCTCCCCAGTATGAGTTCTCTGATGTTGAGTAAGGCATGAACTCTGCCTAAAGGATTTCCCACACTGACTACATTCATAGGGCTTTTCCCCAGTATGAGTTCTCTGATGTACAACAAGAACATAACTCTGGCTGAACGACTTCCCACACTGATTACATTCATAGGGTTTTTCTCCTGTATGAGTTCTTTGATGCATAACAAGATGTGAACTGCGGTTGAAAGATTTCCCACACTCGTTACATTCATAGGGTTTCTCTCCAGTATGAGTCCTTTGATGTGCCACAAGTTGAGAACTCCAGCTGAAAGATTTCCCACACTGATTACATTCAAAGGGTTTTTCTCCTGTGTGAGTTCTCTGATGGGCAACAAGTTTATAACTCTGACTAAAGGACTTTCCACATTGGTTGCATTCATAGGGTTTTTCTCCAGTGTGAATTCTTTGATGTGCAATAAGTTTATAGCTCTGGATAAATGATTTTCCACATTGATTACATTCATAGGGCTTCTCTCCTGTATGAGTTCTTTGATGTGCAATAAGCTTGTAGCTCTGCCTGAATGACTTTCCACACTGACTGCATTCATAAGGCTTCTCTCCAGTATGAGTTCTCTGATGCACAACAAGAACATAGCTCTGGCTAAAGGATTTCCCACACTGATTACATCTATAAGGTTTCTCTCCAGTATGAGTCCTCTGATGGGAAACAAGGTGAGAGCTCCGGCTGAAGGATTTCCCACATTCATTACATTCATAAGGTTTCTCCCCTGTATGAGTTCTCTGATGTGCAACAAGATGAGAGCTCCAGCTGAAGGATTTCCTGCATTGGTTACATTCAAAGGGTTTCTCTTGAGAATTTTTCATGTTTGGAGCAAGAAATGAATTCTCAGAGACTTTATTACAATTATATTCAACAGGAATGTTCTGTTGTTCATTATGGGATATGCTATGGTTTAAAACTTGCCCACATTCCTTAACATCAAAGCGTTTTTCTCTTGCATGTATTTTCTCATGTATATTTATGGGTGTACCATGGCTAAAAGATTGAATATTGTTGCTAAACCCATAGGATTTATCTTCTGTTTGAGTTCTTGTAAATTGAATAAGGTGAATGCTCTGGGATTTTTTTCC